CATCACTCTGAAATGGTTGTTGAAGCTGAAGTCTAGTAATGATAATTTAAATGTCAACATTTTAAATTTCTTTCTTTCAGATTACCCTATAGGGCAGGGACTATGTCTTTACTTGTAATGCACGGGACACCTACAAATAAATTCTCAAATCGTCACACGGTGTTTTCTAATACAGTGCAAACACTAAATACCATTTAGTACCCAAGGCATACATTATTATGTATCTCATAAACAGGACCACCAGGTTTGCATGATGTAAAAGAAATGTATCATTTCTCCTCTTCTTCCTACTCAGGGCTTGAATACTACAAGAAACCACTCATTCCCACATTGTCCTTTGAACTCTCACTTTCTACATGCTAATCCTTCTTCCTGTAGGGTATTGCTCACTCAAGCGGTTTATGGAATCATAATTCCCTGCATATTCAGGACATAAGTCCTGTCTTACACAGAACCCAGAATCACAGATAGACAGTCACTTGAGCATCCAAAAAGAGAAATCCTACACCCAGAAAACCTAGCAAGTGGTGAAATGTTAATTTTGGAAGTGCAGAAGCTCTAGAACCACCTACTGAAAAAATAAGAGATTATGTAGATCAAAATTAGAAAAGGAGTACTTGTGGCATGTTAGAGACTAACAAATTTATTTGAGCATAAGCTTTTGTGAGCTACAGCCCACTTCATGTTCAAATAAATTGGTTAGCCTCTAAGGTGCCACAAGTACTCCTTTTCTTTTTGCGAATACAGACTAACACAGCTGTTACTCTGAAACCTTAGATCCAAATAGGTACAGCAGTGTAATTCTAGCAGGGCCTTGGAGTGACAAAACTATCTTTAATAGTCTTCTAAAAATCAGGGGGGAGGGCATGACTTCGAAAGAAAATCTGCTCTTGGGAAAAAAAATCACATTTCAATTTATGATTGTGAATTTACTATTGTTGCAAGTAACCTCTAAAAATAAATACAGTAACAGAAAGATTAAAGAAAACATAAAGCATAGGATTTGCCACACTGGATCAGACCACTAATCCAATATACTGTCTCCAGCTGTGACCAGTACCACCTCCCTCAGAGGAAGGTGCAAGAAACTTTGGAGCAAACATCACGCGATAATCTGCTCCCAGGGAAATTTCCTTCTAACCCTCAACAGTTAGAAATTGGCTAATGTGTGGAAGCTTGGAGATTTATACACCTTCTAAAATGTGTTTATTGGTACTGTCCACTATTATAACTACAGCCACTGGTATCCACACAAACACTGAACTGTTGTTGGAATCCTGTTAAACTCTTGGTCGCCATCATCCTGTGGCAATGAGTTCCACAGGCCAGTGAGGCACTGGGTAAAAAAGCAACCAATTTGGGTGCCTTAATGAGGTATCTGTTGGCAACCCCGGCCTCCAGGGACACAGACGGCACCGTCCCCAGCACAGAGCGGCGCTCCCGGGGTCCCACAGCCGGCTCCCGCCAGCGCTCTCCGGCTCACCTGCCTAGCGGCGAGGTGGGAGAAGCCGCCAAGTCCCTCCTTGCATAGGGGGCCGCCCGGGAGGTGGGGCTCCGCGCTGGCCGGTCGCGGCGGGGGCGTGTGAGAGGAGGAGGTTCCGCGGCCCAACCGGGAGAAGCGCGCGGCGCCTGGCCTAGCGGGGTCGTTAGCAACGCGGGACGCCGCCGCCGCCGCTTCGCCTTGGCAACCCCCGCAGGGGGCGCCGTGCACGACGGGCTGGCCGCGCCCGCGCAAAAGCGCAGCTCGCGTGTTCCGGCGAGGGGGAGCGCGCGAGAGCCGGGGCTGCGCGCCAGGCCCAGCGCAGGGCTCCATATTACAGCGGGGGCTGTGGCTAGTGCAGGCTTGTGCATTTCGTGCAGTGGGGCGGGGACATCACAGACACCCGGGAAGCTGCCAGTGCAATCTCCTAAATCAGGGTACCACCTTCTGCCCGCTTCTGATTGAATCCGTACCCTGAGAACTGCCTCCGCCAGCGTCCCTCAGAGGGGGGACGTTGGCCTTGTGACTAACAGAAACGTTAGGAATAATTTATTCCTGATCACACATCACCCCAATTAATCTCTGATGAAATTAAACAACTGGCAGCAGGAATAACTGTGGCTCAGTGACTCACTGAATGCAGGGATCCTGTTAACGCTATAAGACCGGTAGCAGGACACGTAAACTGGAGTCACTACACTTAGCGCTCCCACAGCCCTGCCCACAAGCCCGCCCTGGTAGCTCGGCGTCGCCCAGCAGGCTCTCCTCATCTACTGCTTTTTGGCTCGCAGCTACTCCAGCACTGCGAGCATCCTCTCAGGACTCAAATCTCTGGCCCCCTCATCTTTAATCCCACTGATTCTAAGGTGACAGAGACCACCAATAACGGGCCCTGTCCTTATTCTGATCTTCTACCTTCAACTCTTCTCAGGGCTATAAAATCTTACCCCCTACACTGCAGCAGCGAGTCTCATTCACACCCTTCCCCAGCGGCTAGGAGGAGAATGAAAGCCCTCCCATTATATGGGGCTCCCGTCCAAGGATCCTATAACCAGCATTCTTCAGACTCCTTGCTGCTGCCTCCCTGGACTTCTTCCTACTATAGCCTGTCAGCAGGCCTCTCCACAACCTCTAACTTCAGCCTTTTTTCGGGGCTGGGATTCCTAGGACTCTTCATCCCCCAATAAAATCCTAAACCAACTTCTTCCATCTTAACCTTTCACGCCTCTAAATTTCCCTTGCTCTATTCCTCCACTGAATACTTCCCTAGACTCTTTCCCTTGAAGTCCTGATCCTGCCCATTTATTAGATCTCTCTCACCTGTTCCCAGACTTCCCAATCCCAAAATCAAAACTGCCCCTAGGTGTCTTCCTTAAGCCTCCCACTTTCCACTCCCCAGAGAGGAAATACACAGTTCCTTCCCTACAGTCCTTCTCATACTGGGTTTCATTTCTTTATAGTCATCCTTCCCCAGCTGGGCTGCACCTTTAATTAGGCCTGGTCCACCCTTCAGGTGCAGCCAGATGGTAACTGGCATCTTTCAGAGCCAGGATGGGGTATATACTCTATCACACAGCCTTAATTTATGTACAAAAAGAAAAGGAGTACTTGTGGCACCTTTGAGACTAACATTTATTTGAGCATAAGCTTTCGTGAACTACAGCTCACTTCCATGAAAGCTTATGCTCAAATAAATTTGCTAGTCTCGAAGGTGCCACAAGTACTCCTTTTCTTTTTGCGAATACAGACTAACACGGCTGCTACTCTGAAACCTGTCATTAATTTATGTACAGTTCAGGGGACAGGGAGACACATTTAACACATGGTTTAAAAATTGTCACCCCTCTCTTCACCTTTTGAATTTCAGGGCTTCCCTTTCCACAAGTATCTATGGTCACTTTCTCATTTCTGCTTGACATTCTATCCTAATCAGGATAGCTGTCACTGAAAAAAAAAAAAGTGACAATGGAAGAAACAATGAGGATTTGTATTATATACATTGTTAATATTACTTTCTTACCATCACACCACTGCTAAACAACAGTGATATAGACATTCATTTTATGAGTATCTTCCAGATCTCTAAAAGAAAAGGAGTACTTGTGGCACCTTAGAGACTAACCAATTTATTTGAGCATAAGCTTTTGTGAGCTACAGCTCGCTTCATCGGATGCATACTGTGGAAACTGCAGAAGACACTATATACACAGAGACAATGAAACAATACCTCCTCCCACCCCACTCTCCTGCTGGTAATAGCTCATCCAAAGTGATCACTCTCCTTACAATGTGTATGATAATCAAGTTGGGCCATTTCCAGCACAAATCCAGGTTTTCTCACCCTCACCCCCCCCCCCCCACACACACACACAAACTCACTCTCCTGCTGGTAATAGCTTATCCAAAGTGACCACTCTCCTTACAATGTGTATGAAAATCAAGGTGGACCTTCTCCCCTCCCCCACCCCCATATACACACAAACTCACTCTCCTGCTGGTAATAGCTCATCCAAAGTGACCACTCTCCTTACAATGTGTATGATAATCAAGGTGGGCTATTTCCAAAATGGCCCACCTTGATTATCATACACATTGTAAGGAGAGTGGTCAGTTTGGATGAGCTATTACCAGCAGGAGAGTGAGTTTGTGGGAGGGGTGAGAAAACCTGGATTTGTGCTGGAAACGGCCCTCCTTGATTATCATGCACATTGTAGGGAGAGTGATCACTTTAGATAAGCTATTACCAGCAGGAGAGTGGGGTGGGAGGAGGTATTGTTTCATGGTCTCTGTGTATATAATGTCTTCTGCAGTTTCCACAGTATGCATCCGATGAAGTGAGCTGTAGCTCACGAAAGCTTATGCTCAAAAAAATTGGTTAGTCTCTAAGGTGCCACAAGTACTCCTTTTCTTTGTGCGAATACAGACTAACACGGCTGTTACTCTGAAACCTTCAGATCTCTACATCTTATAAACTAGATGAGAATTATATTACTTGTTGTATTAAATCTTGAGTTTTCTCTAACAATCACTGTTCTGACATGGACGTTTTAGAATCCTAAACTAAGAATTTCTTATAAGAGTGAGTTTCATTTTTAAAATATATAATACTAACACAATTAAAATGTTAAATGTAGAGTACATTTCAAATGTACAATGCAATATTGGTAAAAGGGTAGAATGTATGTGATGTACAGTAGGTTTTCCTTCTTCAACTGTAAGTAAATGCACATGATAACCCTGAGAGATGGCATTTTTTGTTGAGTTAATGTTATATACTAGCTTCATACTGTTGTCAAGTGGGGTGGATTCAAAAGTATTTCCCTCGAGCCCTGTGAAAATTAGTTAAAAAAAAAAAAATACAGCCTGAATCTGTTGTTTTTCTGTGGAGCCCCTGCCTCTGCTTCCACCCACGGCAGTCGTGCTCTGGTAGACCAGACTGAATAATACAGTAGTTCTTCATTAGGCCAAATACAAGGTGTAATTACAGATAAACTGATTAAAACCAGTAGATAAAACACAATTCTAAAATGTTGAGGATTTTATTGAATATCCACATAATAATATACAAAATTTTAAACCATAAGTTTCTCGTAAGATGTGCCATGAACAAACCTTCAATTGCAGCATCACAAGTTAGTCTACTGAAACTGACTGAAGTCTGCTGCATTTATCAGATGCCTTTTCGTTGCTGTTTTCCATTTTTGCAATCCGGGATCCAAACTGCATGGCCCTCTTTGGCAGAATAGTAGAGGCTGTGAGGCCAAGCTCCTTAGCTGCAAGGCGCAAAAGTAATTTCTCTCCAATTCCTCGAGGCAGAGTCAAGTCTGCTTTTTCCGAAACAGGCAGAGAGTTAAGAAACGAAACAACATCTTCATCAAGGAAAGGAAATCTAAACAGAAAATAATATTATGAAAAACTGTTACCTTGACAGGGTTTAAACTCATAAACAAATGTGTAGTGTACGAGATAACTGCCCTTAGAATACTCAATTCACACTATTCTGATCTGTAGAAAATTTGGACTTTCAAGTCAATATCCATTCCTAGAAGGAGATGCAACATAAATCTTGATGCTAACATGTTGTGAGAAAAACAGAAGTGTTGTGGAGTCTTGAGGAAATAAAAGACTGAAACAGCAATACACGTCCATAAGAAACTTCATTTAAACTTATCTGATTGGAAGTTTTAAAAGTCTTGCCCAAAAATAATAATTTGTACTTAAATAGGAGCAAATGACAGAAATTCTGTTTTTGTGCATAGCTCCCTTAGTCACCACCAATAAAGATACTTGAAAGAGAGAAAACATAAATTATGTCGGTGCAGAACTGTTTATAAAATAGAATGTTTTTCAAGATCAGAGGATCTTTAAATGTTGAACTACTGTAAAACCTAACCTTAGTATACAGCTACACTCTGGTGCTGTGTCTAATTTTAACCTCTCAGACAAAACACATTTACACTGAAAATTCTGTTACACCATTCTAAAGGGAAAAACAAGTCACAAAAATTTAGATTGTTAATGCCTGCTGTCAGCTTTTACCTTGCTAAAAGGGCACTTCCTTCTTAAAGGTCCTTTCACATGTATCATAGATTTATAACTCTGTAGGTAACTCCCCCCCACCCCAAGATATTACACATTTTCTGCTCGTCACAAAATCACGATTGGTGCCCTAAGATCCATTTTTCAGTTTACTGTACCGAAAGAAATTCTTCCCAGTGCAGAGTTAATATGCAAAAACCTCCACACCATCACTTAACTCCAATGGTGGGATCATGAGGTGGGACAAACAGGCATGAAAGGAGATGTTTTGTTTCTGGGTAAATTAAATTGGGGCTACTGGATCTAGGCTATACCAATCTAATGGTTAGGAACTCTAGTCGAGGGGTGTGGAAGGGCAGCAGCTGCTGTTCCATAGTCAGGAATAATGGCTGCAAGGAACTGCATGTATTGCAATCCCACAGCCTAGGTGGTGGGTGAAGTGTATGGATTGCATTCTCTAAAGTCCCCATATGTAGTTCCCCATACAAAGCCAGCTTACGTACGCTTTATGCAGAACAATGGCTATTCCCCTATAAAGTGACAAAATCAACTAAATATAAGAAATATAAGGTTTCTATAAGAACACCTAACAGCATGTATGGATTAAAAAAAAATTTTGCTCCCTTCCTGAGGTTTAGAAGTCTTTTGGGCCAAGAACACTACCAAAAATGCTCAGGCCTCTCCTTCCTCCTTGTGGACATATCTGTCTGCTTGCTGCCTCTTCAGTTTAAACTTTGCTGCTGCTGTTTCTGTTATGCTAAACCTGGAGAAAAGAGTGTGTGACCATAAAAACTCCTGTCTGTAACAGTAACTCCCAACAGGCCACACAAACTCACTATACCTATCACACCACATTCATCATATTTATCCATAAATGATGTAATGTAGGATCGTAAATGAATGCCAGGATCACACTGGTCATTAATATAGTTGTGAAATGGGTACACACACACGCGCTCTCTCTCTCTCTCTCTCATTCACTCACTGAAAATACATTCCAAAAATGTCTGAATCAAGGCAGTGTTGATAAACAGGTTTCTACTAGACAAAGGATGTTTGGTCTCCCACCTGCCTTTGTAAGTCAACACAACGAAAGCCCGTTTTGCATTTGAAGTCAACAGAAGAATATGAAAGCAACATGAAGTCAGCACACCAAGCAATAAAACTCGGGGTAGGGAGAAGGTAGGGGTCATCCTGACTCTGGGGGCCAACAATTAATTTTGCTGATACAAGGAGAAGGCAAAAAGACATCACTTTATCCTGCATGTGAGGGAATAATTGGGCACATTCATGAAAATGGGATCCAAAACGGCCCTGCTTGGCAGCACTGTAAAGGACATTTAGGAGAGATAAGACTGCTTTTAGACAGATGGTTAGACTGTTAAAGTTAAGTTTAGTCTCTAGAAAGTGTGTACCGAGTTTAATGTTACCTTGCTGACTGGACTACCCTTACTCACTGTCTCTTACATTTTAGCCTTTGATAATAAATTTAAGTTTTCACTATAATATTGCAATGCTGTGATGATATATATGAGCTGATCCTCAGTTGAATCACACAACCTCATATATACACTGTCCCCTGGGGGATGGCAAACATGATATTTCTGTGAGTAGCCAGTGAGAGGGGCAAGATATCACAGGGAAAATCTTCAGAACAGTTTGGGGACCGGAGTGGACCTATTGTTAAAGCAAAGGGAGGGGCCGGGCTAGCATTGTCCGGAGGAGATTGTTTTGGTGGCTAACAGACTGAAGGTGTCAGGGAGCTGATAACACTGCAAAGGGTAAGCAACAGCAAGTCTCTCTCTTGCTGGAGGCAAAGAGGTAACAAGGTGGCTCAAAGTCCTGGGTACCCCAAGAACCATCACAGTGTGCAGGTGAGGGCACCTCAAATGAGTGCTTGTGAGGGTAACGTCATCATACTAACATGAGACTGGAAGTAAAATTTTCAGGTGGAAGTGTGATTTTCAAGTTGCTATGTCTTCTTAAGGGGTACTCTAAGCACTTTAAATTAGTACAGGCCCAATGTCTGTGTACACACACCCACACCCTAAACAAATGTCCTCATGGAATTTTTAAAAATGAAGAAAAGACAATTTTGATTTAAAATTCCACTGCAGTGCTAGAAATGGAGTTCTGAGTTGAAACTGTTTGCTGCATGTTAAAACAGTGCTACCTTGCTTCTTTTCCATGATCTCCAATAATCCTGTCATCCCGGCCAAGATTTCTAGAAGAAATGCGAGCCAGCTCCATTCCTAGTTCCTTATTCAAACCCTCTAAACCGTATTTTTTGAAGCAAACACGATGTCGGGAATATCCTGCAAGCTGCTCATCTGCTCCAATTCCTGTAAGCACAACCTACAGAAGAGTATAAAAATGGTATTTTATTATTTATCTAGGAACTCTAAAGGGGGAAAACGTTATAGATTCCCAAAATATTCAACTATAAAAATCTGAAAATAAACCCAATAAATATATTCAAACACATTTAGATTAACATAATAAAATAAGCCTGCATTTATTCATTTTTATAGATCCTGATCTTGTTCCCACTGAAGTCACTGGGAACCCTGATTTAAATTGGAGCAGGATCAGACCTGAACAGTATACACTCACGCTTTAACTCATTAAAGAAAAACAAAAAACCTGGTCTTTTACAATAAACCATTTCAGTCTATTTGGGGGAAAAAATAATTTGAACTTTTTGAAGAATTGAGATAAACTGCTAAGTAAATCACGTCACCTGAAAGACAACTAAAATAAAACCAGTATTCACATCTTTAGGTGACCCACTCGGATGCATAAGCCATTATAGGTTGTAGCACAATCTGAAAATAAAGCAAAATCCATTCAACTGTGCACTAAATCCTCTATTATTTGACTCCAACCATTTAAAACATCCCCATTAACTGGCAGCAAATAATATAAACCTCAAAGCAGATGCAGAAGTGAACTCCAAATATGCAGCATCATTTTAAAAAACATTCATCCTTTCTCCATGCTCACTACCAAAGACAAGTGGGAGGAAAGAAGAGAATTCTTGAAGTAGCTATCAAATTACTACAAGAAGTTGCCCCCTTCAAAACGGCAAGAAAAATATCAGGTGGAAACAGAGGAAAAGTTGCTCTTTAAATGACTGTTTAAAATATGTCAGAAGCCTTCAAAAAACAATCCTCACCCCTCAATAATAATAGCATTTTGTTTTGTCACATACCAACCCAAATATTGATATTGTGGGAATTACTGGATGTGGGATACCAGCACAAAACAATGCTGATTAACTAAATTTTCTGCAGATTTAAATATTTCAGATCTGTTTAGACTAGATCTGATGGTACAATTCTTCTCTACTACGTCAATTCAAAAATTGAATATTCCAGGCTGAAGACTATTGCCTTTCCCAGTTCTACTGCTGTATACTCAAGCTTACAGAATAGAATAATTCCATGCCAAGGAATTGAATGCAGGAGTCCTGCATTTTTGGAACTGCAGACAGTTACACACTTATTACAACTGCAAAATTTACTTATGCTTGCTACTTGTATTGCAGCGAGCTTGGATATTTATTAATTTTTTACTGACTACTGAAGCTAAACTGCACTATACTTATTTTTATTGACCAACTATAAAACAAAGAAGATCTTATACCTTTGCAGAACTTTTATATGGTTTTACATCTCCCTGGGTAGTAATAAAACCTTCTCCCCTGGAAGCAAACCAAACTGCACAACCAATGCTGTCATCCAGAACGGTATCCAATGGATAAACTAAGTGGCGTATGCGCTGTTGTCTCATTCTTTTCAGTTCCTCAAGTGTAACATTAATTTCCACAAAATTCCAAGTTCTTGAAGGATTAATAGTCTCTAGTTCTTCCAGTCCTGCTCTGCCAGTGATTCGGTCAGGCACATTGAAGCAAGAAAAGTTATCAACAATTGTAGTATCAAGTTTTTTACAGCATTCCTGACAAGAATGCAATTCATGTTGTTTTTTCTGCTTGCTTTGTATTGTCTGTTCTTTAATCATGAAGGCTACGTTAAGAAGATCAATTGGTTCCTCTGAAGGAATATGTCGATCAGCTAGGGTTGCAATAAGCATAGAATCAATACCACCAGAAAACAATATTGCAACATGTGCTTTCTTGGTAGGCATACTCGGAATTTCTCCTGTTAGCTGACCTGTATCTCTAAACAGATATAAAACACGTCTCTTTACTGCTTCACTTAAAACATCAATAAGCTGTTGGACCAATTTCTTCTTGTGCTCTTCTGCAAGAAATCGATGAAGATCTTCTACAGTAACTGTACTATTAGTAATATTACGGCAATGAGAGTCAACTGAAGTTTCAGGAACTGTCCTATTCAAAGGAACAACTGGTGTTATTAGAGAAAGTTTTAACTCACTCATCGTAAGAGACACATAGGCAGGTAAATCTTTTGAAATCTGATCCAAGCCACTGAGGAATGTTTCTTCTATTGCATTTTCTCTGGAATGGTATTTCCAGGGATAGAATGTTAAAACCAAAGACTCAGATATAGCACATGCCTTAAGATCAATTTTGTAAATTCCAGATGCTGGAACTTCCTGCCATTGGTTATCAGATTCAGAAAGAGCACTTACAGACGACAAACAGAGAGCCCTGTCTAGCTCTTTATTAAACTGCCACAACAAACTACGACGACCAAAATAATCCCTACCAAACCACAAGTAGTGTCTCGATGCTTGATAATAAATAAAAGACCACGGACCCTGAACAGATGAGAAGAGTGACAAAATATCAGATTCACTACTACATGATGAAAGATGATGAAACATAACTTCAGTGTCATTCTCTGCTGTCCCTACGTGAATTCCATTGAAGACTTCTCCATTCCAAAGAAACACATTGTTATCAATGTCTGTCAGAGGCTGGGGAGTCATCAGTCCCCTCAGGTGAAGTATATGGCCAGAAAACAAACACTGGTAGGAGAGATCAGACACAGTCTTTATCAGATGCTGGCTGCTGTTAGGTCCTCTTCTTCTTAGGTTGCACAGCAGACCATCTTTGAAGAAGCCACCAATAGTGTGCTGAACAAACAAACTGACAACACAACAAATACCACACATTGCTATATAGAATTTAAAAGGTCTATTTTCTGATTTTGGTCTTCTCTGAATTTTCTATCTCCTGATGTGCCCTCTTCAGGTCATCTAATGTGTCTGCATAAAAGAAAAGAGGAAATAAATAATCACTTAAAATTCTTTTAATAAATTCGATAAATGTGGTAGAATAATAATGAATTAGAGGGATAAACAGCAAGCTCTTTAGGGCAGGGACTGTCTTTCTGTTCTATATTTGTACTGTGCCTAGCACAATAGGATCCTGGTCCATGAAGGCCTTAAAAGCCAGAGGCTAAGCGAGCAAGGGGAGCTAACGAACAGGGGACCGCAAACAGGGGAGTTTGAGATGGGGTTTGTGGGAGGGAGACTAAATAAAATCGCTATGGTTAGGAAGGGCCGCATCGCCAGTGCCAACGTTGCTCCTGTCTCCTCCACCTGCGCCTGTATCTAGGCAGACAACCTAACCATGGATGCCTCTATGCAGATCCTGGTGTGGATCTGCAGAGACTGTGGCCTGCATTTCCCACTCACAGAAAGCCAGGCTGGGGGGGACCATCCAGTGTGAAAGGTGCCTGATGGTGGAATCTCTCAGGAAGCAGGTGGGAGAGCTACAGGAGGTGGCTAGGCTGAGGCACATCCATGCCCAGTTCCTTGGGAGTATTCATAGGGAGACATCCAAGACTGAGGAAGCTATCCAGCTACAGAAGACTGCTGTCACACCACCGAGGGAGGAGGATATGGCTCTGTCACAGGGAGGACACTAGCTCCTGGTTAATTCTGGCAGCAGGCAGTGCTCCATCCCTACTCCCAACCCACCCACCATGGTGACTGAAAACCTTTATGCTGCCTGGGCAACAAGAGATGAGGAATCACCCCCAAAGGTGGAGGAGGAGAAGCCATGTACCCCCAAGGCTGGGAGGATCGCAGCCACCACTCCCAGGAGAAAATGTAGTGTAGTGGTGGTTGGTGACTCTTTTCTGAGGGGGTTGGAGGCACCCATCTGTCACCCTAACATGGCATCTGGGAGGTATGCTGCCTGTCAGGGGCCCATATCCGAGATGTTATGGAGAGATTGTCGAGGATCATCCCCATGCTCCCCCACTACCCCATGCTACTCATCCATGTGGGCACTAATGATACTGCGAGGTATGACCCTCAGCAGATCAGAAGTGACTACAGGGCTCTGGGAGTAAGGGTGAAGGAGTTGGGAGCGCAAGCAGTGTTCCCTTCGATCCTTCTGGTCAAGGATAGGGGCCCAGGCAGAGACAGATGCATCCTGGAGGTGAATGCCTGGCTGCGAAGATGGTGTCACCAGGAAGGCTTTGGCTTCCTTGACCATGGGATGCAGTTTTAGGAAGAAGGACTGCTAAGCAGAGATGGGGTCCACCTATCGAGAAAGGGAAAGAGCCTATTTGGATACAGACTAGCTAACCTAGTGAGGAGGCTTTAAACTAGGTTTGAAGGGGGCAGTTGACCAAAGCCCACTGGTAAGTCAAAAACATGGAGACTGGAGAGAAGGGATTTGGGGGGAGCATGGGTTGTTATAGCAGGGATAAGGGAGAGATAAGACAGAACTGACGGTGGGGGAAATCAAATCAGTAGCTTAGATCTGTATACCAATGCGAGAAGTATGGCGAATAAACAGGAAGAGCTCAAAATGCTAGTAAATAAACACAACTATGACATAATTGGTATCACAGAGACTTGGTGGGATAATACGCATGACTGGAATATTGGTATCGAAGGATACAGTTTGCTCAGGAAGGACGGGCAGGGAAAAAAGGGAGGAGCTGTGCCTTATATATTAAAAATGTATACACTTGGACTAAGGTTGAGATGGAAATAGGAGACAGTCTCTGGGTAAGGATAAAAGGGGTAAAAAACAAGGGTGATGTCATGGTAGGGGTGTACTACAGACCACCTAACCAGGAAGAAGAGGTAGATGAGACTTTTTTTAAGCAACTAACAAAATCATCCAAGCACAGGACTTGGTGGTAATAGGGGACTTCAACTACCCAGACATCTGTTGGGAAAATAACACAGCAGGGCACAGATTATCGAACAAGTTCTTGGAATGTAGACAATGTCTTGGAGACAACTTTTTATTTCAGAAGGTGGAGAAAGGTACTGGGGAGAGGCTGTTCTAGATTTGATTTTAACAAATAGGGAGGAACTGGTTGAGATTTTGAAAGTGGAAGGCAGCTTGGGTGAAAGTGATCATGAAATGATAGAGTTCATGATTTTAAGGAATGGTAGGAGAGAGAACAGCAAAATAAAGACAATGGATTTCAAGAAGGCAGACTTTAGTAAACTCAGGGAGTTGGTAGGTAAGATCCCAGTAGAAGCAAATCTAAGGGGAAAAACAATGGAAGACAGTTGGCAGTTTTTCAAGAGACATTATTAAAGGCACAAGAGCAAACTACCCCACTGCATAGGAAAGATAGGAAGTATGGCAAGAGACCACGCTGGCTTAACCAGGAGATCTTCAATGATCGGAAACTCAAAAAAGAATACTACAGAAAGTGGAAACTAGGTCAAATTACAAAGGATGAATATAAACAAATAACACAGGTATGTAGGGACAAAATTAGAAAGGCCAAGATACAAAACAAGATCAAACTAGCTAGAGACAAAGTGCATCAAGGCAACGTTCTACAAATACATTAGAAGCAAGAGGAAGATCAAGGACAGGGTAGGCCCATTACTCAATGAGGGGGAAAAAACAATAACAGAAAATGTGCAAATGGCAGAGGTGCTTAATGACTTCTTTGTTTTGGTGTTCACCAAGAAGGTTGGTGGTGATTGGATATCTAACATAGCGAATGTCAGTGAAGATGAGGTAGGATCAGAGGCTAAAATGGGAAAGAACAAGTTAAAAATTACTTAGACAAGTTAGATGTCTTCAATTCACCAGGGCCTGATGAAATGCATTCTAGAATACTCAAGTAACTGACTGAGGAGATATCTGAGCCATTAGCGATTATCTTTGGAAAGTCATGGAAGATGGGAGAGATTCCAGAAGACTGGAAAAGGGAAATAAGCACAACCTGGGGAATTACAGACCAGTTATCTTAACTTCTTTACCTGGAAAGAGATGGAGAAAATAATAAAGCAATCAATTTGGAAACGCCTGGAAAATAGTAAGGTGATAAGTAACAGTCAGCTTGGATATGTCAAGAACAAATCGTATCAAACCAACCTGATACCTTTCTTTGACAGGGAAACAAGCCTTGTGGATGGGAGGAAGCAGTAGACGTAATATAGCTTGACTTTAATAAAGCTTTTGATACTGTCTCGCATACCTTCTTATAAACAACCTAGGGCAATGCAATCTAGATGGAGCTACTATAAGAAGGGTGCATAACTGGTTGAAAAACCATTCTCTGTTAAGTCGTTATCAGAGGTTCACAGTCATGCTGGAAGAGCATAATGCGTGGGGTCCCACAGGGATCAGTTCTGGGTCAAATTCTGTTCAGTACCTTCATCAATGATTTAGATAATAGCATAGAGAGTACACTTATAAAGTTTGCAGACGATACCAAGCTGGGAGGGGTTGCAAATGCTTTGGAAGATAGGATTATAATTCAAAATGATCTGGACAAACTGGAGAAATGATCTGAAATGAACAGGATGAAATCCAATAAGGACAAATGCAAAATACTCCACTTAGGAAGTAACAATCAGTTGCACACATAAAAAATGGGAAATGACTGCCTAGGAAGGAATACTTACTGTGGAAAGGGATCTGCGGATCATAGTGGACCACAAGCTAAATATGAGTCAACAGTGTAACACTGTTGCAAAAAAAGAAGGAAACATCATTCTGGGATATATTAGTAGGAATGTTGTAAGCAAAACACAAGAAGTAATTCTTCCTCTCTACTCTGCGCTGATTAGGCCTCAATTGGAGTATTGTGTCCAATTCTGGGCGCCACCCTTCAGGAAAGATGTGGACAAATTGGAGAAGAGCAAGAAAAATTATTAAAGGTCTAGAAAACATGACCTATGAGGGAAGATTGAACAAACTGGGTTTATTTAGTCTGGAAAAGAGAAGACTGAGATGGGACATGATAACAGTTTTCAAGTACATAAGAGGTTGTTACAAGGAGAAGGGAGAAAAACTGTTGTTCTTAACCTCTGAAGATAGGACAAGAAGCAATGGGCAAGGATGGTTTAGGTTGGACATTAGGAAAAATTTCCTAACTGTCAGGGTGAAATACATTCCCTAGGGAGGATGTGGAATCTTCATCCTTGGAGATTTTTAAGAGCAGGTTAGACAAACACCTGTCAGGGATGGTCTAGATAATACTGAGTCATGCCATGAGTGCAGGGGACTGGACTAGATGACCTCTTGAGGTTCCTTCCAGTCCTGTGATTGGGCATCTTAGGCACTACGATAATACAAATAATAAATAGTAATAATAATGGTTCCTGATAAGTCAGTAATTATAGCCAACAGTCCAATCAACACAAAATTTAAAGACATATAACAAGAAAATATGAAAGTGTTATGCATCAGTACCATTGCACAAATCAGCCCATTGCAGCTTTTTCCCCTTTAAAGACATTCAAATTTAGATATATATTCTTATTGTTAATGCACATTTTTGTATACATGAACTTTAAAAATTGTATGTCGTTAAATTTGCATTGATTGGGCTATTAACTATAACTCCTGACTTATCAAGTACCAAAATTATTATTTGTATTATTGTAGTGCCTAAGACTAAGAGCTTCAGTCATGGACCAGGACCTTATTGTGCTGGGTACTGTACAGGTATAGAACAAAAAGACAGCCCCAAAGAGTTTACAATCTATCATAGAATCATAGAATATAAGGGTTGGAAGGGACCCCAGAAGGTCATCTAGTCCAACTCCCTGCTCGAAGCAGGACCAATTCCCAGTTAAATCATCGTCTATCTCTCTAATCTAAGTCATTATTATTGTACTGCATTTTTATATATAAGACTTTTACCAATATCAGAAGCTGGTGAACTCCTAGCTACTGTCAATATAAGATTTGCACTTTACTGCATAAACTGCATAAACTATCTTAACTAAAGCCTTCTCAGTGTAAACTGGCTAAAAACACTCTAAGAAACAAAGAGCAAGCACCATTTGTTCCATCCAGAAATTACTGAGTTCATTTACATCTTGGAATTCATTCCACACCTGACCCTAGATTTCTCATCTACTTGATGCTTCTTGGTCTTTATTTAACCAACAAGTCTCTCTCTCTCATTCTCCCTTATCTCCAGATGCTTCTATCCTAGATCCTCGACCCTCCACACCTCCATAATCCCAAAGTCCATTCCTCCAGCCCCCAAAGGTTTTCAGTTCAACTTCAGTTTTCTTTCTTCCTTAACCCATGTTACTTTCAGACAGGTTTATTCTTCCTATATGGGACCAAATGCTGCAAGATGCTGATTGCTTCCTGAAAGGAGTTGAGGGTGCTCAGCAATTCAGAGGACTGGGCACTAGGTCTACTATAATTTTTACTGGCATCCCGTCCTACATTTTTAGGACTAGCAGCTTTTCAGTTTAAGTACTTTATCACTCATATACATAATATTGTGATTACTTTAGTCTTCTGTCCTATCCAGACAAATTAAACACAGCAATCATACAGCTTTGAATAAAGCTGTTCATTTTGATCTGCAGGAGAAATCATACACAGTTACAAATACCACCTTTAAATATTGGTAGGCAATGTGTGTTAAGAACTTACTTTTGCATTCAGATAACATTTCTGTTCTGTCTACAAGAAAGAATATGTTGCTATTGGGTTGCTGTTTATAAACTTTCTGAAAAATAAGAGGAAATTGGGATAGGTTAATGTTAATAACAAATCCACAGCAGAAGTCTATCATGTTATCAAGACAACTGTTTTATCATCCACAGCATTGTTACCTACTGCTATTTTATATTCTTCTTCCCTCAAATATGATGAGTCAAGTGCCACCATTTCAAATATAAACTAAATTGAAAGTAAACATATTTATGAATACTTAAAGTGTATGAATGGCTAACATGATATTGGCAAATATCAGGCCAAGTTAGACATTTTAATCAACAATTTAGATAAGACATTACTGAAAGTACTGACGCCAAAAGGACACACAAATTCTCATTGTTTTAAAAGGCAAGTGTCTATCTATTTACTACATTAAAAGGCACTGTACTAAAAGTACATGTACGTGATACAAATAATATAGGATAAAAGATAAACATATTAAAAAGTTAATTCTTTGCAACACATGATAGTTGTAAAATGTATAACAGAACACGGTTATCATCTATACTGACAGAGTCCTGGAGTCCCTACTCACTCAAAGCTTCAGTGAGAGTTTAGAATAGATGGATTAAAAACTACAGGATTTGGCCCAACATAAATTGTATATACAGTAGAGCCTCTGTGTTACAACCTAATTGGAGACTGAGTGCAGAAAGTCAAAAAGTTCATAAAATTGAACATAAAAAAATTAGTCGGTACAGTGCCTGAGTTGCAGTATGATGCAACTGCATCATTTTCTTGTCTTTCAAACTGTAAAGCAATTTCAACACACTGAAGGCATCAGAATATAAAGGGATGATGATTCGTTCTTCATTGACATCTCTTTTGTTGTGACCCTTTGTTCCATCAAGAAAAATGGTTCATGTAACTGGTGGTTTGTAAAAACGAGGTTCTACTACACCATAAAGACAATTCTTTATCAAGTTGTATCCATGATATTCACAAAGTACACAAAGCCACAGTGAACTATTCAGTCATGGTGCTAGGGGACAAAACTTGTGGCACAAGCTTGTGATTTCATATCATACCTACTGTGCATTTAATCCTATCAGAACCGAACAGTTAACCAAAACATGAAATAGCAGTCTCAATTGGCATACTATATACACCACCAAAAAAAAAAAAAAAGGGGGGGAATTTGTGTGTTTGTGAAACTTCAGATGGAGAGTCCTGGAGACTGAAGTCCTCTATCTACAGAACACTTGTACCAGAAGTGGCAGGTACATGCTTTCTTACACTGCCCCTCCAATGTGCCTCAGTATCCATCCTCCATCTCTTCCATACTCTCTGCTGAAACTGCCAATGAGTCAGCCAATGGTGCCAACTCTGATGTGAACATGTCCACTAATAAGCATACCAAGAAAAAAATTGATCTTATTTGACATGGACCCATTATCAGTCCAGAGCTATCCAGGGCTCAAACTAATTCTGCTTTTGTCAGGAACTGTTTACATGTTTCTGTATAATTTACCTGCACCTTGAATGATTTATTTTTAAGAACATGCAAGTCCATTTACACTGATTGTCAATTTTTCTGTGCACTGTTGAAATTAAATAGTTGGTAGGTAATGCATCAGATCTCTCTGAAAATAAAGTGTGGTCATTTATGTATGTTTTGTAGATGACATTTGTATATAGTTAACTCTATCTTTATTTTTAAAAGGGTTTTAACTTGTGCATATAAGGTAGGATTTTCACACACGCTCAATATTGGCTTAACTCTGCTCCCCTCAAAATGAATGGTAAATCTCACTCTTATTTCAAAGGAAGCAGCTAGGCCAATGGTAAGGGCTTCTGAAAATCCCACACATCATGGACACGATTAACGACAAAACAAACTGTGCTGATCCAAAGATAAACTGAATTAATTTTTCTTTTACGAACTTTAGACACTGATTAATCAGACTGATAGCCATACAGAAAAACTGGTAAATATCAGAACACAATCATTTTGAAGTAGCCATTGAAAGCTGTTTTGCTTTTCTTAGGTATTAAAGCAGAAGCAGATATTTCCCCTTCCATGTAGGATATACATCTTTATCTTGGAGTTTTAGCCAATATAAGTTATCCTTAGAGAAAAGGAAAGTATTTATTTGCTTATCAGTGCACATAACATCTGTTTTCTCATTTCTATCTACAGCCCTTCACCTACCAATTCTTGCATAATGGTCATAAAACTCAAGGGGTTCATAGAGGAGGACAACAGCAGAGAAGGTCTTCTTTGTATTTTTTTAAAGCAACTTTAAACAACTTTTGCCTTCAAAATCTGAGAAAATCTGTGACAAATATTATGAGTTTGACGCCAAATTTGGTATTTCCCCTGATAAAAAACAATTCCTGCACAGCTTAGTTCTGAATGTAATATGGAGAGTAATTCCCTCACCACTTAGAAAATGTACAGTAGGAATTGTCTTCTTTTTGGCTTGAAGCATTGAGAAGTGTTGGAAGGGGCACACAAGTGTTTTGCTTTGATCTAGGATGTGCTACACTCCATCACTACCACAAAACTGGATATGATCACTTCCTGGAAAATAAATCTTCTTTGACAAGGTGCGTAAACTAAGTTAATAATATCAATATAACAACAACTAAATGCTGTCTTAAAAAATGTCACTCATAGTGGGCATCAGCTATTTTGAAGTGTTTGTATTTGTTTTCTCATGCTTTCCCACCTTCCTTTATCTAGAGAATAAACTGCAGCAACTGCAAACACTGTCGCATTCTATATCAGGTTGGAAGTGAACACGTCAAAGACTAAGTGGATGCGGAATGAGCATTCGAAGCAGGAATCATCGCTGTGAAAGGGAAAGTAATTGAGGAGGTCAACAAATATATTTATCTAGGTCAGCAGCTGAACATTCAAAGGGGAATGCAGTAGCACGAAAAAGGCGGGGCGGGAAAGTTTCAACAAAATAAAGACAACTCTAATGGATGATAAACTGCCCATGAAGAAAAGGAAAGAACTGTTTAACTCCACTGCTCTGTTAGCAATGATATAGGGAGTGGAAAGCTGGTCAACAATGAAAGTGGAGGAAGAAAAATTCACTGTCACCCAGAGAGCAATGGAAAGGCGAATCTGCAAGATATCGCTCTGTGATCATCTACCAAATGAGGAGATCAGAAGGCATACAGAGGTGACCGATGTAGTGCAGGCGATGTACAACGCAAAGTGGAGATGGACGGGTCATGTAGTCCGCAGGTAAGACAATATGTGGACAACCCGAATCAGTGACTGGATCCCCAGAGACCACAAGCGACCACTGGGCAGACCGGAAATGCGTTAGGCTGATCCCATAACAAAACTCTTGGCCAGAAATGGAAAGAACATGTTTGTAATAAAACAGAGTGGTGTGGCATTGACTTGCGTTTGTGAAGGGACGGACGAGGACAAGCTGGACAATGGCGATTTATCTAATGCAAAAAATGAATTGCTAAAAAACCACTTTGTAATCACTCACCCGGTTCTTCTTCAAGTTGGAAAGCTCATCAACTACAACTTTCTGCTCTTTAATCTGAAAAACATAACAGAACTCTAGATTTATAACAAATAAATCAGTATGTTATAACCCACTATTAACACTCCAACCCATGTTTTCAGATAGACAAACATTTGCATCTACCTTACTCTGAAGGTCCAGGAGAAATCAGATAGAAAAGTGATGGAGTAAAGAATGGAAAGTAAACTGACACATGAAAGATGTTTCCATAGCCAATATAAACATAACCAGTAAGATATGCTGGGGCATATGACTAATAGAAGCCAAAGTAAATTTTTCTGAAATTAATTTGATCTGAAAACTAGGTATCTGTAGAAGTCTGAGCCAGCAAACCAGGAGGGAGTAAATCATATTTTCAAATACCTGCTTTAGAAGGGAGGTAATTTGTATACGATCTGCATCTTTTTCTCCACAATTGCATGTGATCAGTACTGCACATCTAGGGCCTGATTCCAAAGCCTACTGAAATCAATGTGAGTCTTTCTATTGCTTTCAATGAGCTTTGCACCAGACCCTAATAAAACCTACTACTCTTGTAGATGGGGTTACTATGTAGGCAAATATGGTATGTTTTGTAAGCAACAGGCTAGGAACTAGATTCTGAATTATTCTGGTATAAATCAGAAGAATTTCACTGAGGTTAATGGAACAACAGCATATGAAAAATCTGTTTTGTGGGATCTTCTTCTTTCCAGGGGGAAAAAATGGGTCTCTTCAGGATTTTTCTAACTTCTTTGTCACCCTGAAGCACACAACAATGCAAAGAACTGTGAAGCCAATTTTGTCAATTTCCTGGGAACATTTCAAGGGCAGGGGGAATCCTTGAAGTGCAGAGCTGCCCACACCTTCTTTCCCCGATGTCACTGTTGGAAAAAAGACCAAAGAACCTCTACACTTCAGCTATTACAAGCTGCAAGAATGTCCCTTAGGGCCACAGGCAACTGGACATAAACTAGAACAGCACAGCATCTCCTCTATTTATGCCATGAACTGAACAGTACCTTAACTGGTTCCAGAATTTGGAAGTCACAAAGTTGGCATAAATCCACCTTTGATCCCATTCCAGTCTCTCAGGCGCTCAAACCAAAGCACGCATTTTACACCAATATCCTCCACCGAGGACATGGAGAAGCAGCACATTTACAAAAGGAAAATGGAGGAGGTTCCTTGGGATTTACCAGACTTACAGACTGATGACACTACTGTCTCGACAGTAAATATTTAGTGTTTGTGAAGAATGCCAGAATGACAACTCCAGAGGCTAAAATATTTTATGTCTCCATGGAGCATATATGGGATAAGTAGCTGTAGCATAAGATAACCCACAATTCCCTGACCATTTATCTCAAGCTTGGAGTGATCAACACTAGGCATGACAAAGTAGTTCTACCAATATCTCCATTTAGCCCTGCCACTGCCAATATGGCCATTAATTAGGGCCAAATTATGGTGGAAGTTTCTCTACTGTGAAAATTAAAAAAGCCAAAAATCTCTGCTTTTTCATGGTACTGAATCTCTAATTTTTTTCTGGGGGGTAAAAATAAAGTCATCACCCTTATACTCCTGCCGCCCTGCACCCCCACTTTCACAGCAAGCGCTCAACGCCACACGATTTCCCAGAAAGTGTGTTCAGGGCCAATATAACATCCTGATTCGCTGTCGCGGCATTATGACGTTAGACCTTGCAGCGTGACATCACACCGCGAACGCAATTGTAGTGATGACGCCAAATAAGCAGGAGGAGACCAGGCTGGTGCCCCCACTGGGCCGCGCGGCGCCCAGCCGGCAGGGGGCCCCCCTCCTCCCGCACGGACCCCAACCGGAACTGGACCCGCATCTATTCTGCAGAGGCCGGAACCTCCGGTCTCGCGAGGGCCGTGTGCGGGAGTGAGATTCGCGCCCCGCCCCCACCTTTCGGGTCAGCTCGTCCTTCTGGGGCAGCTTCGCCCCCTCCTCCTCTCTCCGCGGCTCCCGGCCCGACATTCCCGTCCTTACGCGTCCCGTTGCCAGGGGTGACAAGCGCGGAAACTCACACAACACTGGCTGGCGCTTCCCTAATCCCACCACGTGCGGTTGGGGCCGACTACTTCCTGCAAACGCCCCGAACTGCGCAGTCGCACTACACGCAAAGCCCCTAACTGCGCCCACCTAGCCGGGCCGGTGGAGCGACAGCGCATGCGCGAGCTTCTCCGGGCATGCTCAGTAACAAGTCACGCCTCTGATACGTTTGGCCACCCCCCTTGGTGTAACTGAGCATGCGCGAATTGTCTCGAGTTGGTTGAAAAATGGTTCTTGGGTTTGAAGCGCCATCAAGTTTTAAAATCCCTAGAAGGGAGCTGCGATACAGTTAAGCTTGGGAACCCCACACCTTGAGAATCCAGATTTATCAGAAAAGCTGCCCTTAGGGAGCTGTAAACAGCTGCCTCCTAAAGCAGGGATGGGCAAACTTTTTGGTCCAAGAGCCACAGCTGAGTATGGAAATTGTATGGCGGGCCATGAATGCTCACGGACTTGGGGGTTGGCGTGCAGGGCTCTGGGGTGCAGGCAGAAATGAGGAGTTCAGGGTGTGGCAAAGGGTTCTGGACTGGGGCAGGGAGTGCCAGGGGAGGACTCCAGCGGGGGTGTGGGCTCTGGGGTGGGGTTGGGGGTGGACAGTGCTCTGGGCTTGGACCAAGAAGCTCATAGGGCAGCAGGGGTCCGGGTGGCGCTTACCTCAAGCAGCTCCTGGAAACAGCAACATGTCCCCTCTCCAGCTCTTACACGGAAGTGCAGCCAGGCAGCTCTGCACACTGTCCTGTCCACAGGCACCACCCTTGCAGCTCCCATTGGCCAGCGTTTCTGTGAGCTGTGCGAGCTGTGCAGGGGAGGGGGCAGCATGCCGAGCCCCCTGGCTGCCCCAACGCGTGGGAGCTGAAGGGCGGACATGCCGCTGCTTTCGGGAGCCGTGCAAGCCTCGGACGCTGCTCCCGGGAGAGAACTAAAGGGCTGGATTAAAATGTCTGAAGGGCCGGATGTTGCCCCTGGGCCGTAGTTTGCCCACCCCTGTCCTAGAGCCTAGGATATGTCTATACCACAATCAGAGGTGTAACTGCAGCATGTGCAGACATATCTGATCTAGCTTTAAGTATTATGAGTACCTAATGAAGGCTCAGCAGCACAGATTTCAGCATGGGCTGAATTACACAGTGGTTTCAGGTGGGCTTGTACAAACCAAACTGAAGTCCATGCTGCCACATCTTCACTGACTTGCAGTGTGTGTCTACACAAACTGCAATCACTCCCCTGATTGCAGGGTAGTAATATCCTTACTTGCACACATGGTTAAGCCTTTGCAGACATGGTTTTGACATTTTGAATAAATCCCTGGTGTCCACCTAATATGTGAACATATAACTTGCCTACACTAGGGTTTAAAAAAATAACTTTTTTTCCTAGTATAAGCAAGAACAGAAAGAAAGAAATTGGTTAGAACTAGTGCTATAATTTGAGAAGATAGGCCTCAAAAGCTTGAGAATGAAAGAACCACAAATGTGTAAAAAGAAATTAAAGGAAAGATTCTAATTAGTGTTTAGAAAAAAACTGTGTTCATTTCATAGCCCTTTACCAGAAATGGACAGCAGAAATGAAGGAGTGAACCCTGCAGAAGGGTATTTGTTAAACAAGTTATATGAGTTCCTGGTTTTAAAAGCTTCCTTTTTCTTGGCTAAACCTATTATTTTAATAATTACTAATAGTAGTATATTGTTTTGCACTTCAGCGCCTTGCTTCATCTGAGTAGGTCAATGTTCTTTACAAACATCTAATTAGATCTCACAACACAGATGGCTGAAGCAAGGCACAGAGAATTTAAATAACCCGATGGTAAGTCAGTGGCAAAGCCAGGAACAATGAGTCCTGGTTTCCTAGTTTAACCACTAGATGCCATCATCATAAATTGGTAACATGGAAACTGCTATCTGTAGGCCTTGGTGATCAAGTAACAACTAGAAGTGTGTGAACACCAACAATTTTCGTTTGTGTGTGGTTCATTCACCAAACCTTGCAAATGTAGTTTTTGGGTTGCTAGTGGTCCTAATCCCCTTGCATAAAAGCTCAACTTCAGCAACCTACAACCTCCCCAGGGAAGTCCAACAGCGCATCGCTGCTATCATTAGAGCTGGGTCACAGAAACAAAAATGGAATTGCCTGTTATGAATAGTCAGGGAAAGACAGGATTTCCCTTCCCACAATACCAAGGCTCAGTGTTTACACAGGTTTCAGAGTGGCAGCCATGTTAGTCTGTATTCGCAAAAAGAAAAGGAGTACTTGTGGCACCTTAGAGACTTACCATTTTATTTGAGCATAAGCTTTCGTGAGCTACAGCTCACTTGTATGCATCTGATGAAGTGAACTGTAGCTCACGAAAGCTTATGCTCAAATAAATTGGTTAGTCTCTAAGGTGCCACAAGTAATCCTTTTCTTTTTGCTTACACAGGGTTGCCCAGGTGCTTAGTTCGTTTCTCTGCTAATTCACTTAAGAAGAAAATGAGGCTAGGAATGAAACACTGAAAAACAAGTTTAATGGGAAAAATGTAAAAGTGAAAAAGCAAGAAAGCAAGAAATCATTATCAGAGTTCATGTACCTTTTTGTTCCCCCATTAAGCATTGCAGAGGCCTGATATATCCAGCCAGTACTGTGTGTAAGCTGCTTGTGTCCTTGGTTACCAATCATCAGAAGACAGACATAGAAGGCAAAATCCTGTACTGTACTTGACTCATGTGTGGGGTCCGGTCAAGCAGGTGTGCTCAGAGGCTGCCTACTGGAATGGGTCTCTAAATACCACTGTGGATCAGGACCTGTGTGACTGGGTAAGGTTTATGGCCTAATTTCAGAGCATCCATAGCTACCACCGAAGACAATGGACATTAACTAATAGGTTATAATCCAAAACCCAGCGAAGCAAATGGGCTTTGGATCAGGCAAATAATGCACAACGCTTAGTGGGATTAATCCAATGCCAATTGAAACTGATTGAAAGTCCGTTGACTTTCATAGATACTGGATCATATTTTTACCAACAGGGAGGGTCAACAGAAATCAGAGGGAAATTTGACAAAGCCCTGGCTGGATTTAGTTGGGGATTGGTCCTGCTTTGAGCAGGGGGTTGGACTAGATGACCTCCTGAGGTCCCTTCCAACCCTGATAGTCTATGATTCTATGATTTGGCAACATTTGCACAGAATTTTCCCACAAATCTGTGGGATTTTGTCAGAGCTTTTAGCCAAAGTCAGTGAGATCACTGTGAGGATGTCCCCTTTACTTTTTGTCTCACCTTGTCCTTTCTCTCTATTTTAATAATAGATAACATTGTAAGACCCAAGGAGAGTCATTCCAAAATTAACATGAATTGCTGTAGCTAGGGCAAATTTATATAAACCCCATCAAACCGCACAAGTATCACAGCAGGAAACCCACAATTTGTAGCTGACTACATTGCAGACATTGGTTGTTTGAAAAGTGTGAATTGGGAGTGCTTTGTTCCAAATGAGTCTTGAGTGGGCCTGCCTGTTACAAAAAAGCCAGTCAGCTGCGAACCAGCTGAGCAGCGAACAACAAAGAGGCTAACAGAGGGAGTTTGCCTGGGATCTGTCTGAGAGGAGATACGCTAAGGGCTGCATTAGGGAGGCTGTGTTGGTGAGTATCTGAGTGTCTGTTGTGGGGACAGTTTGATCATGTGCTTGATTGGTTGTTTGAAAAGTGTGAATTGGGAGTGCTTTGTTCCAGGTGAGCCTTGAGTGGGCCTGCCTGTTATAAAAAGCCAGTGAGCGGTGAACAGCAGAGAAGCTAACAGAGGGAGTTTGCCTGTGGAGAGCCCACTGAGGCTTACATCTTGCCGGCTTCTCTGGGTAGTTACTACAACTCCTAAGGAAGCTCATAGAAGGAAGGTAATATGGATGGGGAGTGTTCAGCTGTTGTCATCTGCATTGGATGTGCCATGTTTGTCTTTCTTCCACAGGACAGAAGCGACTTTATCTGTACAAAGTGCAAGCTGGTCTCCATATTGAAAGAGAAGTTCAAGATCTGGAGAAACAAGTATCGACCCTGCGTTGCATAAGATAAACTGAAGATTTCCTGGACAGACATCAGAATATGCTTCTACGGACACAATGTTCTGAAGATTCAGAGCAGGCTGCGCAGCGGGGACAGAAGGATGGTGAAGAAATTTGGCAGCATGTGAATTCCAGAAGAAGAAAGGGGAGTGTTCATGTACCAGCAACGCAGATACCGGTAAGCAACCATTTTCATGTTCTCGCCACAGGTACTAATGCAGAGAGTAGACTAGATGATACATCTGAGGGAAGGGTACAGAAGGAGACTCCGCCGATTGGAAGGCAAGAGACGCACTGTCCTCGGGATGCGGCTTCCATGACCACCGCTCCCAAGAGAAGGAGGTGGGTGGTGGTGGTTGGGGACTCTTTCCTCAGCGGGAGTGAGTCATCTATCTGCCGCCCCAACTGGGAAAACCGAGAAGTCTGCTGCTTGCCAGGAGCTAGGATTCACGATGTGACGGAGAGACTGCTGAGACTCATCAAGCCCTCAGATCGCTACCCCTTCCTGCTTCTCCACATGGCACCAATGATACTGCCAAAAATGACTTTGAGTGGATCACTGCAGACTACGTGGCTCTGGGAAGAAGGATAAAGGAGTTTGAGGTGCAAATGGTGTTCTCGTCCATCCTCCCCATGGAAGGAAAAGGCCTGGGTAGAGACCATCTAATCGTGGAAGTCAACGAATGGCTACGCAGGTGGTGTTGGAGAGAAGGCTTTGGATTCTTTGACCATGCGGTGGTGTTCCAAGAAGGAGTGTTAGGCAGAGACGGGCTCCACCTAACAAAGAGAGGGAAGAGCATCTTTGCAAGCAGGCTGGCTAACCTAGTGAGGAGGGCTTTAAACTAGGTTCACCGGGGGAAGGAGACCAAAGCCCTGAGGTAAGTGGGGACGTGGGATACCAGGAGGAAGCACGAGCAGGAGAGCACAAGAGGGGAGGGCTCCTGCCTCATACTAAGAAAGCAGGACAAATAGCAAGTTATCTCAAGTGCCTATACACAAATGCAAGAAGCCTGGGAAACAAGCAGGGAGAACTGGAAGTCCTGGCAAAGTCAAGGAATTATGATGTGATTGGAATAACAGAGACTTGGTGGGATAAC